ACGACGCGTGGATTTCCTCTGGATTCCTATGGCTGGGATTTGGGTGTGGGTCAAACTATTTGTATTGGATTTGTCGGAACACAGGGAACGACGCGTGGATTTCCTCTGGATTCCTATGGCTGGGATTTGGGTGTGGGTCAAGCTATTTGTATTAAATTTGTCGGAACACAGGGAACGACGCGTGGATTTCCTCTGGATTCCTATGGCTGGGATTTGGGTGTGGGTCAAACTATTTGTATTGGATTTGTCGGAACACAGGGAACGACGCGTGGATTTCCTCTGGATTCCTATGGCTGGGATTTGGGTGTGGGTCAAACTATTTGTATTGGATTTGTCGGAACACAGGGAACAACGCGTGGATTTCCTCTGGATTCCTATGGCTGGGATTTGGGTGTGGGTCAAACTATTTGTATTGATTTGTCGGAAATTCACAGAACGAATACAGTGATTTCCTCTGGATTCCTATGGCTGGGATTTGGGTGTGGGTCAAACTATTTGTATTGGATTTGTTTGAAGACAGGGAACTATCGCAGGATTTCCTCTGGATTCCTATGGCTGGGATTTGGGCAGGGTCAAACTATTTGTATTGGATTTGTCGGAACACAGGGAACGACGCGTGGATTTCCTCTGGATTCCTATGGCTGGGATTTGGGTGTGGGTCAAACTATTTGTGTTGGATTTGTCGGAACACAGGGAACGACGCGTGGATTTCCTCTGGATTCCTATGGCTGGGATTTGGGTGTGGGTCAAACTATTTGTATTGGATTTGTCGGAACACAGGGAACGACGCGTGGATTTCCTCTGGATTCCTATGGCTGGGATTTGGGTGTGGGTCAAACTATTTGTATTGGATTTGTCGGAACACAGGGACCGACGCGTGGATTTCCTCTGGATTCCTATGGCTGGGATTTGGGTGGGTCAACCATTTGTGTTGGATTTGTCGGAACACAGGAACGACGCGTGGATTTCTGGATTCCTATGGCTGGGATTTGGGTGTGGGTCAAACTATTTGTAGTGGGATTTGTCGGAACACAGGAACGTACGCTGCGGATTTCCTCTGGATTCCTATGGCTGGGATTTGGGTGTGGGTCAAACTATTTAGAGTTGGATTTGTCGGAACACAGGGAACGACGCTGCGGATTTCCTCTGGATTCCTATGGCTGGGATTTGGGTGTGGGTCAAACTATTTGTATTGGATTTGTCGGAACACAGGAACTAATGGTGGATTTCCTCTGGATTCCTATGGCTGGGATTTGGGTGTGGGTCAAACTATTTGTATTGGATTTGTCGGAACACAGGGAACGACGCGTGGTTTTCCTCTGGATTCCTATGGCTGGGATTTGGGTGTGGGTCAAACTATTTGTATTGGATTTGTCGGAACACAGGGAACGACGCGTGGATTTCCTCTGGATTCCTATGGCTGGGATTTGGGTGTGGGTCAAACTATTTGTATTGGATTTGTCGGAACACAGGGAACGACGAGTGGATTTCCTCTGGATTCCTATGGCTGGGATTTGGGTGTGGGTCAAACTATTTGTATTGGATTTGTCGGAACACAGGGAACGACGCGTGGATTTCCTCTGGATTCCTATGGCTGGGATTTGGGTGTGGGTCAAACTATTTGTATTGGATTTGTCGGAACACAGGGAACGACGCGTGGATTTCCTCTGGATTCCTATGGCTGGGATTTGGGTGTGGGTCAAATTTAAACCACCAGGAATCGGACCGCAGGTTTATGTGTTCCATTTGCCAGGGCGAGCCATTTTGGGTAATTACCTGTTTTTGACCCACTGCCATTTCATGGATTTGCCTAAAAACAGGGAACCACGACGTGTGGATTTCCCGCTGGATTCCTGGGTCCTCCAGTAGTAGGGATTAGAATAAGGGTACCCGATCTTTTTCTTTTTCGGTAGTCTATTTTAGTAGGGGAACCCTCCTCCAAAACTGGGCAAAAGGCACTACTGGAAAACCTAGATTCCCTTTAAAGCAACTTTGTGAAGAAAGGGACACATGCATAGTCTGTCAAGTTTGGCTTGATCATGGTTGAAAAGAATGAGAAGGAACACACAGTCGACCACAAAGCCTGTGAGCTATTCTTCCCCCTCCCGTCCAAATTGAAACAATATCATTATACCTTGTTTCACAATGTTGAAACTGGTTCTGACTCATAGCCGCTATCTAGTAGGAGCCATGGGCAAGTACAAACCTCCGAGACTCCAAACTTCTAAGGCCTCCGACCAATCCTGAAAACGCCCTTGAGAACAGCCCCTTTTTTCACCATTTCCCGGGTCAACAGGCAACCCTGGGAATGAGTGAGAGTGACACCAAGCTGAACCATCCGACTGATACTGTGGATGGACGAATTCCATTTCGCACCGCTTTGTAACCATGGGAAATCGTTTGTTTTTGGCATTTACAGGACAATCATCATTCCAGGGATGCTTTGGTGGCAGAATGTCGTCCATCCAACTGATAGTTTCATTGAAGGGCATCCCAAAGGATTCGCAAAGCCCCTCTTGATCAAGGGCATCTTCAGGCATTGGCTTCTGAGGTATAGATGTATGGAGGATATATCCAATCAGAGAAACAAGGGCAGCCTGCAGAGGGGTGGCTTTCTTTTGGGCTTCCCTTCAAACCAACCGAACATGAGTAGCCTCAGAAACTCCAACCCATGATTTGTGGCTGCAGTGGAGGGGATCCCTAGATCCTATAGGTTCATCAATTCCTTAATGGAGGTTATACCCAATACCAACATGAATCATAAATATGGGCGTGTCTATATCTTTAGGGGACCTTCCCCCAACAAAAAACAAAAAGGAATGGCTTTTTCTTGCTGGCTTTCCCTTAAAAGGGGGGATACCCACCAAAAAAGACCAGCCCACCCAAATAAAGGGCACCTGATGCCTTCGCCCGACAGTTCCCCGGCTCCGAACCCTTCCGAGATCCGGCCTGGCTGACCGCCTTGTTGGCCGCCAGCTCCTCGGTGTCGCCCACGTTCACGTGCCTCAAGCTTCCAACGAGCTGCCACGCATTTCTCGCGGAAGACAGACACTGGGTCCTCCAGATTTGAGAGCTTAGAATAAGGGTACCAACTTTTTGTTCGGTAGTCGATTTTAGTAGGGGAACCCTCCCCCAGAAAAGGGTGAGAAAGGGCACTACCGGGGGACCTAGGAAAAAAACAAAATGGCCTCTGGACCCCACCTTTCAGTTGTTCTTTGTTTGCAATAACTTACGCAAGAAAAACAAGTGGCTTCAGAATTTGTGAGCACCACGTCGTCGTCTTTGTTTATCGTGCACCCCTTAATTCGCGTGTTGCGCAAGTTCTCGATGACCTCCTTTTGCAGTGAGGGGTTGGCAAGGTTGACATGGGTCATAATCAAAACCCGGCATTAGAATGGTCGACCCAGAGCCATGTAAAGAATTAAGAAGGCGGCTGCAGCTATTTATGGTTGGATTGTCCCTTACTAACCTTCACTTACCCAGGCTTTGATTGTGACTCACATGATACCCACAACAAGGTGGGTATTTTCAGTGAGGATGGTCAACCAAGACCAATTTGAAAGAACCAAATCAGAAATAAAGATCGAATCCCAGTTGTCGTGTTAGGTTAACTCCACTTCTTCTGGGGTCCCCACAAGACACCAAGAGTGTGCCACTGCATTAGGACATCTTTGGCAGACACTCACCAAACACCGAAGCTTTGGCGAAACTGATGGATTTCCAGCGGCTGGTCTCCATGTTTGAAGGGAAACGCCGGCAAATCAGCTTGGGGTTGGAGGTCCATACATAGGATTTGAGCCTTCGAGGCGTTCGGGTGGTCCTTTTGAATACTTTGTTGGAGAGATTGGAGTACCTCCAACCAGAATAAACCACCTTGGAACAGTCATACTGAGATACTGAGGAACGAAATCCGTTTCGCACCGTTCAGAAACCCTGGCCTCTGATGATTCCCAAACGTAACCACCAACAAACGTTAAGGTTTCGGCGTACCCGCATTAGTTGGTCGTCCTAACATCTCACGCCTGCGAGGCCCATCCACAGTAGCGTCCTACGAAAGTTTTTCTCCGGCGGCTTTTGTGTGTGCAGGACCCACACCTCAAGACCCCGATAAGGTACAACCTCCATTTGCGTAAGTCGCCCCCTGGAAAAAATGAAAATATATCCAGTAGTGATAGATTCCCTTTAAAACCAACAGGGGAAATATTGTTGTTGCTTTTTAAGAGAGAATCTCACGCAAATGGAAGATAGAATCCAGAAACTGGGGAAGTGAGACTAGGCATCAAGAGCTCCATCGGCGAGCCGCAGGTAGTCCGGCTTCAGGTACTTCTCCGCGATACGGCGCACCGCCTGACAGGATTTCCGAGTTTACAGACGGCCGATGACCAATGCCCACACAGAAAAACACGCCACAAATGGACGAGAGTTTGAACACAAAAGGGGAAATCGGAAAGACAACAGGCGGCAACCAAGAATGGACCAAATAGAGCAGATCACTGGGACAAAAACCCTAGCTGCCAGGTCGGCATGGGTCAAAATCCCGTAGCGCCAGTGAACATCCCAATCCCCCCCAAAACGGTTTTGACCACCACAGCCAGGTCAAAAAGATGGCTGAAGCTGGACATCCCCCCCCCCCCGCTGAAGCTAGACATCCCCCCCCCGAGCCGCATCCCCCCCCCCGAGCCGACCTTGGGCCAGGTCGCCGTGAAGAGCAGCGTCTGCCGTTCATCTGGCGCCTCGGACCGCTCGGACCGTCGGGTGCAAAATGGTTTGCTGTGTGAAGCATCCCACCCCATGTTGGTCACATTAACTCCACGGTGGTCATATTTGCCTCGGCCTGAAGGGGGCCAAGGGTGCTGAATCTGGCGTTCAAAAGGGAATCTTCTTTTCCCACGCCGACCCACCCAAGAAAGGGACACGTCAGACAGACCAACCTTGTCAACCGTATGCTAGACTCATGTGTCTGAGACTAGCCTCGGGCCCAGCCCGGTGTCTAAGACTTGCCTCAGGCCAAAGCCAGAAGCCACCCAAGCAGCCCAGCCCAAGGCCCAGCCCTCGCCCTGTCTGCTGGCTCCATGACTCACTCCTGGTCCTGTGCATCACCTTGCCCTTGCCTCGGAAATTCCATGCGGGCCCATGACATCAATTGGTCTAACGACGCCAGAACCTGTCCCTGCCTGAATCGCCACTTGACCAGCTCTGCTGCTTGCAGTCGAACCACAGACGCTCGGCTTGCCCGAGGCGGGGAACGCGCAGCGTTTACAATTAACTCCATGTTGGTCATATTAACTCCATGTTGGTCATATTCACTCCATATTGGTCATATTCACTCCATGTTGGTCGTATTAACTCCATGTTGGTCATATTCACTCCATGTTGGTCATATTCACTCCATGTTGGTCATATTAACTCCATGTTGGTCATATTAACTCTATTCTTGTCATATTTATTTACTCCATCGCGAAGGTTGGCAGATAGCAGCAACATTGGAGCGTCTGGATTTGTTTGTTGGGCGCGCAAAGAAATACAAAGCCGGTCGGCTTGGCAAGAAAAAGCACGTTCGACATTCCGCATGGGTCGCCGGTTTGCGGGTATGGCATTTGCAATATTGGTCTCGGTGCAGTTCCAGAGAAACGATTTACCTGGACCCGAAAGCCCTTCACAAAGGCAAATCAACCGTATTTGTGGGTTGCAATTACCAATTTCACTCGGGTAGTTTGAGGGTCCAACTTATTGGTTCAAGAAAACCCTTGAATTGGAGAAAGCCATGCAAGAAGGAAAACTGATGGAGAAGGAAGCAACGGCCTTTAGGTGGGAAGCGAATCTGAAAGTGTGTTGGAGGAAATGAAACGAGACCCAACTGTGAACCAATGGGTGCGCTTGAGGTAGAAACAAATCACATTAGAAAGAACTGATCCAAGTGTCATTACTGATCCAAGGCCAACATACTTGACCCAAAGAAAGGAGCGCTTGAGCCAATGTGTTGCTTCTCGTTGCACCCGAATTGCTTCCTGTCTACTGCATTTGGGTCCCCCAGTTTGGATACCCCCTTGTCGGTCGACGTTTTCCCTTGGTCTCCCTTTACCAAATCCCACCGGGAGAAAACGAGGCCCTCCATGTTTTGTTTGTTTCTTGCCTGCCCTTGCTCGGGGGTTGGTTTCAAGGAAAGCCCCAGAAAAAGCCACCAGCTTTGGGGGTCCAGCCAGCCCCTCTTTGACACCCTTTCCATTGCCCCATGTCAAACGAAACCCGACAAGCAAACTTCGGAACATCGACCCTCCCGAACTCTCCGAAACAAAGAAACGCAAGCCTGGGACAAGATCTTGGCGATCTCCGGCTCAAAGCCCATGTCCAGCATCCGGTCCGCCTGTGCCATTTCGCTGAGGCAGCCGAGTCTGTGGTCCGCAGAGGTTTCAAAGGGAAACCAAAAGGAACCGTTCTGAGAGTCTTCAATTCAATTGATTTAGGGCCTTCAAACAACCTGGTTTTGGGACTTGAAAGCCCCAGGAGCCTCCGGGTTGCACTGCACCATTTTGGGGGGACCCTTGAAAAAGGCAAATGGTCATAGGTCATACTGTGGATGGCACCGCGAAATCCCCAAATCTCGCACCACGAAAGGAAACCATGGCTGAAACCATAACGGTTGTTGGGTATTTGCGTTTGGGAATCAAATGAGAAACCAGGTTCTCTGAACGGCGCAGGATTTCGTCCACAGTATCTTCAGCTGGTTGAAGGCAACTCCCCATAGATTTTGTTTGAGTTATATTTTTTTGTGGGGTGGGGTGGGGGGGGGGGGGGTACCAGGCAGGGCTCTTGTTTTAAGATTCCCAAATATATATATATATATATATACACATACATACATACAAACAACAACACAAAACATATTCGTGCTTGTTAGAAGAGAAGAACAACTCATAGAAATGGTTTCTGTGTCCTGTTGGCTTCCCTTTTGGGAAACCACAGAAAGGGGTACCCTTAACAAAAGACCCATAGTTAATATGAACAACAGACACATTTGCCAGAGTATCGCTGTTGAGGCAGTCTTTAAGCGGTTTTGCAGGTAACACACCTGACCCCCCCCCCCCCCCGGGGCCTTCTCCCGCGGTGGTTATGCAAACGACTTTCGCGAGTCAAACATCAAAGGGGTTTGTCCTTGGCTCGAACCTGCTTCGCAAGTCGAACACTTACAAGCCACGGATGTGTGACGCTGTGGGGTTTTGCGTTTGATGCTGCCTGGACTTTGGCCACCTTGCAACTTCAGGGTTCTTCTTCTTCTTGCAGCAAGAGGCTCAGACCGGGTAGGTCCCTCGTCTGCAGCCCAAACAGCACAAACGGCATGGGGAAAGGTGGCCATGGAAAGGGTGGTCGCACCATCGGAGCTGGCAGCCCTCTCACCAGTGGCGTGGAAACCAGCGGCGTGAACACCAGTGGCACACAGGCCCAAGTCATGGGCATTGCACCGGAGTTGTGTCGTCAGCCAGGAGTGGTTCATGAACGGTCGTCTGGCGGCCACAAAAGCACTGGCTACACCAGCAGAAACCACCCGCCTGCCAACATCATGGCGTGCCTGGCAGGAAATAGTTCCAGCCCACCGACCACCCCCTGTGCAGCTGACAAGCCAGCAGCTAGCACGGCCACCTGTCAGTGACTGATCTGGTTGTGTTGCACTTCCTGGGGCTGCAGAAACAGCAGCAACTTCGCATGCAGAAGCAGCTCATGGCCTTGCAGGAAAAGCAGCAGCGGACAGCAGAGGTGGAGAAGGAAGCAGCCTCAACTGAGCCGCCCGGCTGAGAAGGTGTCCAAGCGTCTGAAAGGAGCCAAGCCCAAGGCCAAGGCTAAGCGAGCAGCCAAAGGGAGAAGGGCTGCAGCGAACTGACTGGAAACTGTGCCCAGCGCGTGCGAGGCAGCTCCACGCACGCTGCTGTGGAAACTTTGCCGGCCAGCAGTTCTCCTGAGCTTGTGCTGGGGCTTGTTTCTAGTGAACTTGCGCAGGCCAGCCTGCAGACATGGAGTGCAGTGCAAGGGGTCAAGCTTGCTGCTGACAAATTTGCACAGTCTCAGAGTAAAGCGGCCCATTTTGAGCCCTCCCGTTTTCCATCCATCGGTGGGTTTGGCCATAAATATGGCAAATTTGATGCTTGAATCCAGGCATTGGCCTTCATTGCAAGACTTGACTCTCCATTGCTTGTGGTGGTTCTCTGTGTTGTTTTCGGCTGCTCTTGTGTTAGTTTGGTACCGCAGCCAATGAGGTTCAAAAGGACTGCACCGCACTGCCCCATGGCGGGTGCGACGAGTGCAAGGACCGCACTAGTCGCGCTTCCAGGCACGAGCGGCGGTCCCGGGGAAAAGAAGCTGAGATTGACTTGAAGAGGTAGGACCCCCCCCCCACTCGGTCAGGCGAGGCGGAAACCATAGAATCCAGCTTCTTTTCAGTGCCCTCGAGTCATTTCGGGGCACTAAACATAATTTTCTGCAAAATGCTGGATCCATGATGTGCCAGAGAGGGCCGTAGATGCCGCTCCGACTTGGTCAGAACATCTAGATAGTTGTCATGAGAAGACAGTTGCTGCAACGCCAGCCTAATGCTGCCGATCTCCTGCGCTTTCATGCCTAAACTCACTTCCTTGCGCTGAACCGCCACACTAAACAGCACAGCCAGGGAGTCATCTCCCGACTTACCAAAAAAAACTCCTAAAGCCCCAAAAAAACAAACAAAAAACATGCGCCAATTAACTTGTTCAGCTGGAGGTCTCTTCTTCGGGGAGAAGGGGAGCCTCATCCCACCCGCCCATCCCAGCGCTTTCCGCTTCCCGCCTCGTCCAGGACCAAAAGCTGCACCTGAGACCTTTGGATCGGGGGGGGATCTGGCCGTCGGATTTTTTCGCTCGTGGACTCGGAGGTCCAGAAATGGCTTCGAAGAGGTGGCTGTGGGTCAAAAATAGGTTCCCTAAAATAGGCGCTTTTTAGGAAAGCCTTTTAGAACCACAACAAGATTGGCAGACACCAATTTGTTGCCCTGGGTGTTTGATGGCTTCGAAGATGTGGTGGTCAAAACGGTTTTGGGATCCCATTTTGGTTGGGTCCCGGTGAATTCACCACCCATTTTAGAGTGGGGATTGGGATGTTCACTGGGGGTACGGTTTGGATTTCCGGTGGCCACCACAAGATCGGCAAACGCCTTTTTTCTGCCGCGGTGTTTGATGGGTAACTGAAAAGAATGATCTCTGGACAGAAGAAGCTTCCAACCTAGAGTTGTGGGTAGCTTCGCCTAGAGTTGTGGGTGGAAGGGGAACCTCGAGAATCTGTGGGCTTTCCAACTTTGACTTTTCTGAGGGAAGCCAAAAAGAAGCCAACGACCCCCGATCTTTCAAGCCGCCCACAAAATTTTGGCAACTCAAACGACGAATCCATTTTTGGCAGCACCAAAAAAACAACTTCTCGACTGTCTGTCTGCCTCCCACGAGTCCAAAACCGAAGCAAACAATCTTCAATCACAAAATATAATTCCCTCCCTCCAAAGCCAAACCCACGCCGAACACAACGACTTCGGAATGCCTGCCGGGCTCCCTGAAAAGAGGTGGGGGCGAAACCTGCCGAGGGAAAGCCTCGCGCCCGAATTCGCGCGCGCGGGCGCTTGGCGCGGCAAGCCGAGGGCGCGACAGGTCCACCTCGTTGGTGCCCATGAAGTCCTGCAGCCTCCCCGGCGTGGCCACCAGCACCTGCCGGGAGAAACGCGGGAGATGCGGCTGGATCGGATCGGATCGGATCGGCTCCAGCGGGATCGATGCGGCTCACAGCGCCTGGGGCGCTTGTTTCAGCTCCTTGGCCTGCGGCGCCTTGGCGGTGCCCCCGAAGACCGCGGAGCACCGGAGCTTCGCCTCCCGAGGAAACGGCGAAGCATGCGCCGTCGGGCGTCGGGACGCGCGCGCGGCGCGGGAGGGCGAGGAGTCGTGTTTTTTGTTTTTTCGGGTAGACCTTGAATTGTAAGGTATGTGTTTTGGGACTGTGATTCGGCTAGAGAGGTGTGTGTTACATGTTCTATGGTAAACTTGGAGTGCTTGCGGGTTCCCCCGAGCAGGCAATGGCCTCCTGATCTGAAACTGCCTTGGCTCAAGACATCATCCTTCCGACAAAAAAACCATGTACATGTCCACCCAGCTATGTGATCTTGGGCTAGTACAAACGTCGCCAAGTCCAGCGACACGGAACAAGGACTCGCATCGGAATACGTTCCTGCTTCCACTAAGGGAAAGGGAGGGATGTACCCCTTCCCATACACTGTCCCTTTGTGGGTACAAGTGATTTATCCTCCCATCCACAAACATGGAACCTCCCAGATACGTCCTGGAAGACCATTTTCCGTTACAAGGGACCCTCTGCTGGTTTCCATGTTAGTGGACAGGAGCGTCATGTACATAGGCCACTCTTCCCTGGTTCAAGTTGGGGATATGGGAATGGGCCAAACTGCCATTGACTATCAAACACCTGCACTTCTTAGAGCACTCAGAATGTGGCTGCCTACAGTCTCAGCTTACCCTCTCACAAACCTAGCCCCACCCTTTAATCGTCCCACCCACTCATCAACTTCATATATTTTACCCCAAAACCCCCCACCCCACCCCAAAACCCGCCATCACCAGCCCCCCCCACCACCAGCTCAGCCTCATTTCCCCGCCGCGCGGGCGCGGCACCCGCGTGGATCAAAGGCTCTCGTGGGCGCCAAGACCAGCACCGGCGCCTGGCCCGGCGCCTGCTCCCAGCTCTTCGACCACCTCCCACGGATGCGCGCGGATGCGGATGCGGATGCGCCGACGCGCGCAAATGCGCGCGCAGCCCCCGTGTTTTTGGGGGCGGTGAAGACGGCGAGCCCAGGAAAAACATGGGGAGGAACACGGGGGAAACACAGGAGGGAGGTGAACCCTTGAGGCCTTGCACTCTTAAGGGCTGAGCGCCCGAAACAAAGTGCAGCTTCAAAATATCAAGAAACGGGTAGAACCGCAACAAACGAAACCCATAATATTCAACATGAATAGGTCGACCCCGTTTTTGGGCTTGAGGGAAATCACACCCAAATATAGACGACAACCCTCGACAAACAGGGTTAGTTATTAAGGAGTGTGGGACGTTGTAGAGGCCTGCGTTTTTCAGTGAAAGTTGTGCGTTTCCTCGAAAAACAAAGTGTTTCTTCTAGGGCAAAGCATTTCGTTTCTTGCTTCTCCAAGAACAAACTGTTTTTAGATTTGACTAAGAGATCTACTGATCAGAAATTGTGTTGATGACTTATGGAAGGTGCAAGTAGAATAAGTTATTCTCTTACCGTCTCTCGTACCATCTTTGCATGCCACCAGTAAGCATAGGAGCTAGAGATCCTACCCCTAATGATGCAGACACATTAGTGCTGCCCACTTGCCATGTGGTCTGCCTCACCTCTATTTACCAGCAATGTGACTTGTGATCTGTCTGTAGTTGATTCAGAATGGCAAGTGGGGATAACCCCCCTCATTTCCAGGCCGAAGTAAACTTCTCTCGCCAGGCTCAGATAGCAGCTTGGTCGCCTACGGTAAGTGCATTTTGTTCACAGGGAAGTGGGGCAAGGACTCTCATCACCACAACTTGCACAGGCCTTCATTCCACCAACCCTTTGTGAGCTTCATGCGTGCCAAGTGGAAATGCAAGATGCTGGTTCCAGCAAACAAGGATCTGACCAACCACTCCACTGCATCCACTTCGCATGCCTGCAGCTCACGAAAGGTTAGTGGGCCTCTGCCAGTTGTGGTGATGAGGCTCCTTCCCCCCTTTCTTGTTCAAAGAAATGCACATACTATAGGCTACCAAGCTGCTACCTGAGCTTGGGGATTGAGCCTTTCCATTTGCCATGGATTGCTGGCAGATCATGCGGGGAGGGTGCTCTGCCCCCTTGATACGCTGAATGGAGCAACACATCGCGAATCATATTGCCAGTAGATCCGGAAAACTGAGTGGCAAGGCAGACCACCTGCAAGTGGGAAACATTAATTTCTGCATCATTAGAGATAGGATCTCCAGCTCCTATGCTTGCAATAGGTGGTGCGGGAGGAGGTAAGAAAATAATTTGTTCTGCTTGCAGCTTCCATAGGTCATCAGCACAATTTCTGATCAGTAGGCCTCCTATGGTCAGCCCCAAAAATACTTATGTTCAGAAACATAAGACAAAATGGAACACAGAAATGCTTTGAGCTACGTTGCGCTACGTGAAAAACCACTAGCTTTTTGCAAGAAAAACACAGATTTCATTGGACCGAGGTATCCATGTTTGATGCTAGTTAAACTGTTATGGTAACCAATGGCAGGCTAGCAGCCTGATGACACTGCTGCAGATTGGCCTAACCTATGGCATATGGCAAACATAGCTGTATGCCAAAGCCACGTGCACAAACATAATCCATCCAATTCCACCTAATTGAATTGCCATGGAGGGTGTGATGCACAAGGCAAGCCATGAGAATACTACACGCAAATAAGCCGACAAGCAAGATGCATATTATGTTTTTCTAGAACTAGCCCCTGTGCAACCAAGCCCTTCTTGCACAAGTGTTTGTTCATTAAAGGTGAGGCAAAGCAGCAATCGAGGTTCGTGCCAGTTGCACAGTTTCTTGCAGCTAACACTGCTTTTCGTGATCATCATGAATTGCGCAAGAGGCTGGCCAGTATGGTGCTATTCATGCAAATGTTCAAGCAGCAAGCACTAGCTAAGTGTATAAGCTACTAAGATGCATAGCTCAGTTCATAAATATAGTGACCCATTGATTTCAAATCTAAGCAACTGAATCAAATGCAACTTCAAGGAAGTGTTTCAAGTAAACAAGGCGTCCTGGAACTTTGCAAATAGGAGCTCGGGACTGGTAGGGGAAACACAAACTAAAAGCGATCCAAATCCTGGCCTAAAAATTGGGGCCCCAGTGATCCTGGGCTGAGTATGGGGGGTCGGGGGGGGGGGGGGGGGAAAAAAACAAATTTGACATGTTCGAGTTGTTTTCCTTCCCCCCCCCCCCCGGCCCTTCTGATGCTACACATGAGGAATACAAAATGTGCCTTGGGTTTGACAGACCACCTCACTGCATTTTATTTCTGTTTCTTCTTGTTTCTTGAGTCTATGCCGACAAATTAAGGGAGGACACTTGTGAACGCCACAGACTTCTGCTCGTGAAAGCACAAAACTTCAAAAACAACACAAATTACAATCACTGAAAAGCGCAGGCCTCCACAACGTCCCCTTCTGTTATTAAGACATCCCTCCCTTTCCCCGGAAAGGCTTCCCGAACCGAATAGATCCCTCTCTTCAAGGCCTCGAAAGGTCCTCTTTGGGCTTGAGGGAAAATCGCAATATGGACCACGCCCCTCTGGCCTGGCGAGGATCTGTAAGGCCTGAGTCCCCCAAAGAGATGAACCCATCAAACTCAACCAGCGCAATGCTTAGATCCGGGTGCCATCCGGTGGATCGATCCCTCTCGCAATCTCGTAAATCAACCAGTGGTTCTACCAAAATTCCGGGCGCCAACAAAAACGGTGGATCCCTTCCATTTGCTTAAGCCCCCTGGAAAAAATACACATATTTCCAGTGGTAATCGATTCCTTTAAAATTTTAAAACCAACAGGGGATGAAGACTCCCCCTCGCTCGCTCGCAGTTGGCCTGGCGATGATCTTGAAGGCGGGGAGCAGGAAGGCCAAGGTCTTGCCGCTGCCCGTCTTCGCCACCGCCACCAGGTCCCGCCCCGCCACGCAGATGGGCCAGGCTTGCGCCTCGCAAAGGAGGCGACATCCGAGACGTCTCCGCGCGCGTGGGAGGTGGGGGGGGGAGGCGCCTGAGGAAAGGAGGGAGCACACCAACACACCAGGGCTGAAAAAAAACGCTGATTTGTTGGTTTTAAAGGTGCCAAAAGGAGACTCAATGTTCAAATGAGGTGCTTTTGAGGATCCGCAATTCTCAGAGGAGCTCAATGGGGTTCCCCATTCCCGCAACAGTTCAAGAAATCAGTGAAAGCGAAACGTATGTTCCAAAAATAGGCTCAAAAGATGAGACAAAGCGAGTGAACAGCCACAAGATTGTGTTGTGTTTGTTTGAGGGTACCGTACCTTTTTGGGAAGGCCAAAGACAAAAACACAAATTGAGGTTCCCCGAAGCTTGAACCAAAAACCTGTAGCTTACCCCAAAACGCGTCGCTTTGAATCTCATCAACCTGGCGTCCCGTGAGTGCTTCCTGAATGGAAGACCTTCAGACATGTCTGGGCAAATGTCTGGCAAAACCCATTCTTTCCAGGCGAGTGCGTCAAATATTTGTCTAAAATTCACAAATCGGGAATTAGGGAACTTCCGGATTAAAGGACCTGTGCATCATAGGATGTTCGCTCGTTTTGCAGACGAATGGCTGGTTTCCCTTTGGCGGCCAAAAGCGGAGTTTGGAAAAGAAGTTTCGAAGGGTCGGGCTTGGTGCAGACACAGTTTTGCCCTTTCACCTCTCCAAACTGTGTCCGCAGAGGGCAGTCCGAGGTCTGGTCATGGCGCCAGGATGGGGCTTTTGTGTACACCATTTCCTTGAAACAAACTCCTTGTTGTTTTCCCTTTCAGGACCTGGGGCCAGTTGTGAAGATGTCTGCCTGCCTCGCGGAGTTGGAGCCCGAGAGAAATGGACGAATGGATGTCTT